CATTTGCCACAGAAAAGCTTTCATGGATTCTGGGCATAAGAGAGATCCTACCTGGGAATCTGTTGAAGAAATTCCTAAGGAAAACGTGTCAAGTGTAAGCTGTGCAAGAAGATGATGCCGGTTCCACCACAAGAATGAAACATCATAAGCAAAAGTGCTTAGTGGGAGAAAACGATGTGGCTACGGCTGAAAAACAGTGTGGATCAACTGGTTAGTAACTTAAATTCACTTTTGCAATGCATTGTACTTGAAGACACTCTCCCTGCCTCTCAGTATGTGTGATTTGACACATTTCCAAGCTGTTTGCTATGTTGGATATAGCTAGGCAAAAAAAAATAGCTAGTCCTTATGGCTTGGTTAATAGCTAATTAGATTTAGAATCGATCGCTCATGTATATGGTACAGAAAGCTGCAGTAAGAGAAATCTGGTGATGCCAGTTGCCACTGGGTATAATTTTCTTATTTTATATGACGTTACACGTGCCCCTTGTTTTGGAACATCAGGGCCACAGACCACAATGGTGATGCCATGACTGTTCCTAGGTTTTGTTTCAGGATCCTATTAAAGCTGAAGAGATTTTCTCTGAAGTTGTTGCAGACTCCTCCATTGGTACTTCTAGTAAGCAAAAGATTTTAATCATCCAGTAAAGCCACCACCATTGATGGGTTTGTTGTAAGGACCAGCAAGTACCAACAAAAAGATTGCTCAGTTCATTTATGCCACATTCTCCTTTTCACATTATGAACAATAAACACTTTCATTGACATGGCTGAGTCTTTATGATCAGTCTACACTCCACCTGTAGAGCAGATGTTGGTGGAAGGTTGCTAGATACAGTGTACGAGAAGGAACTCGAACAGTGTGCAAGAAATACCGAGGAGAAAGTTGCCAGTTTCAGCCTTGATGGGTGGAGCAATGTACACAAGGAGCCAGTCAAATGTGCTTGTGTGACAACAGAAGATGAGGTTGCATATCTCAGAAACAATAGCAGCATCAGGAAATGCCCACACAACAGAACATTTAAAAGAAGTGGCAGTGAAAGCTGTAATAAACTGAACAATAATTCAGTGCTCACATGCACAGCTTTGTCATAGACAATGCTGCAAATACGGCGAAGAAGAAAAGATACTTAGAAGAAGAAATGGAAGGGTGCTCCTTAATAACCTATGGGTATGGTGACCATTTAATGCATCTTTCAACCAAAAACATATGGATGTCTTCTCTAGGAATAAAAGAAAATGTTGTTGGAAGTCGCAAAATACTTCTGTAACAGCCATTTGGCTTCACCTCCACTAAAGAGAGCAGGTAAAGCCAAACTAATTCTTCCTCAAGATGTTCAGTGGAGTACAGTGGTTGATTATTTTGAAAAATGTATTAAGAACTGGCCTATTCTCATATAATTTGGCGGGGGGAGGGAAAGTGATTAAATTGAGGGAAGTACCTCTAATCCAGTGTTAGATACTTTGGATGAGAAATACAGAGGATATGCTCAGTATACTGAAATCTATATCCATAGCCTTAATCAAGCTTCAGAGAAATTGCTGCTTCATTGCTGATGCTGTTGAAATTTGGAAGGCACTTCAGGAGACATTGATGAAAGAAATACCTCTCTAGAAAGTTAAACTGCAGGCAATAAAGTAAATGGATCAAGCACTAACTCCGCCTCATTTTCTTGAGAATATTCTCAACCCCAGCTATAAAGGTAGATGCCTAACTTCTTCAGAAGAGGCTGCTGCCATGGCACAGGCATCTAAAAAGCACTCCTCAGTTGTGCCAGTCACAACACATTTCAGGGTTGGAGCAAACCATTTACTGATGATGTGACTAATGTCATTCACCTGAATTAGTGGGAATCCTTAGCCAGGCACAGAGTTCTCTGTGACTAAGCCAACTTTTCCCAGCAGTAGATCCCTCTGCAGGCACAGAGGAAATATTTTGTTTGTTATTCACTCAAAGCTAAGAGTATGCAAGACGAGAGCTAGTGGTAGAAGTGTTAAGGACATGGTACATTCAGTGTTCTGAGGACTTGCCTCTTAGTGTTAAATAACATTTGAAATGTAAAAAAAGTTGGACAGCTGTCAGTCAGCAACTCAGGAGACTGCTGCAATTGCAAGTATGAAACGTTTTATGTAACATTTTAAGATTGTTTAATAAAATAGATGTGCTGTCAGTGTTTGTGTGATTTAGTTCTTACTACTTCTAATGTAGCGCTGCTGCATCTGCGGTTTGACACCAGTGATGTGTATTATGTATTAACTTGATTGTGTATCTTTTAAGAAAATTAATAATGAAGAAATAGAAGTGGGAAACTTGTTTTAAATCAAATGATTTTTCTCTTGACGATTTTTAAATCGCCTGATTTAAAACTCAGTCCATCCTGCCAAGAACTGCCTGTCTTTGCATAAGACACCCACCAGTGACACTGTTTTGCTTGTCTTTGATTAAATGCTTTCAACCCCTAAGTAGTTAAATACTACCTCCCCGCCCCCAACACAAGTGTTGTTGAATGGCTGAAGTGCAGGATTATCTAAGAGGGCTACTCAACTTTGGAAGCCTTGGGGGCCACAATGACTGAGCGCCAAAACTTAAGTGTGGTTGCATGTAGATGCAAATATATATGCAAATAGCTTCTTTCACACTGACAGGCATGAATACAAAGATTAAGGCAAGACTAACAACACGCAGGCCCCATTTACGTCAGTTCTGCTGATATTAATGAAGTGCAATATTGACCCCATTTCCACCCATATGACAGCACTTTCAATGAGCAATGACGGTCCAGGAATTGAACTACTAAAACACGTACCAACAGAAGACCATTATATTGCCTCACCGTTATGGAGCGTGTTCCCAGTGGAGGCCATGTTCAAAGAATCCCACCTGCGGGCCACGTGTTAAGCCCCACGTAAACCCAAACCACCGTGGGCCGCAAACAAATAGGCCGTGGGCTGTGTGTTGAGTAGCCCTGATCTAAGAGGTGAGTTACATTCTGTTATTTCTTGTTACACAGCTATTAGGGTAGAGGAGGATGTGTGCTGGTGATCCTGGCATGTAATTACTGAGTTGCAAACCACAGCTCTGAATAGTTCCATTGTAACTTCATTTTCGGACACTTTCTGCGTCTTCTTCCTTTATGGCTGAAATTTTCAGTGTTTGGCCTTTTACAAAAGAGAAACTTCTGAAAATTTAAGCAAAAAGTTCTTGTCGTTTGGTGGGTGGTGAGTTTCTGCATTTCAGCCATTCCTCTCCACACCCCCTTTATCAACTTCAGATGCAAGTGCTTACAGGAGAAAGATGGAAGGCGCTGGGAAATGGCCTTTGTTGCTAAGTGCTTCTGCGTGTTGTGGGGAACGGTTGTAGTTTTGACTTGGCATACAGTTAAGAAAGTTTGAAAACCCCGCTTCTTCCAGGCAGAGTGCATTGGAAAGTGCATGAATGGCTGTCTTAGGTGGGTGGTGAAAAGGTAGCTGAGGTGACAGGAATCTGAGGTGGGGAGGGTCTGTGGGAACCCAGCACTTGGAGTGGATAAACTACTAGAGAGTTTGCCTGGCATTGCTCAGGTCCTTAGTTAACTCTTCTTTTTCTTCACTGAAATCACTGCTCTGGGGTGGGGGATGGGGATGAGGAGTTCGGGATGCAGGCTGCTCCCGGGAGAGGACCGCCCTAGGTCTCTCACCACAGCATAGAATCCTAGGGCTGGAAGAGACCTCAGGAGTCATCAACTCCAGCCCCCTGCCCAAGGCAGGACCAATCCCAACTAAATCAACCCAGCCAGGGCTTTGTCAAGCCGAGACCATGGTGATTCCACCCCCTCCCTAGGGAACCCATCCCAGGGAGGTGGTGGAATCTCCATCCCTAGAGCAGCTTGGGGCCAGGTGAGAAGTGCCTCTCCATGGCCACTGCAGCTCCAGAGGGCACAGCCAGGGGAAGGCTGCAGGCTCCTGGGCTGGGGCAGGTCCAGGATCGTCTGCCCCCTGCGCTCCCCAGACAGTGTGGAATGCACCAAACTCTGCACTTTCCCCTGGCTCCCTGACGAAGGGGAACAGCCAGTAATGTTTGGGGGGTGGGGAGCTTGAGACTCCCAGCCCGCCCTCCCTAAAGGGTGCCTGCAGGGTGGGAGGCTTGGGACTGAGGCAGTCCTGGATGTGGGGGAGGGGGAGTTGCCCAGCCAGTCCTCTTTCACCTGCTTGGCAAGTGTCTCTTTTCTGTGTGGTTTTATGAGAAGCAATCCCATTCCAGGCACATCCCCGTTTCCTGGCACAACCAAACGCTGACCTTGCTTTACGTTATAAGAGGAAGCTGCATGCCGAATTTAGCCCTCACTCTTATCGTTTAGGAGAAGTTCTGCTTCCCTGTTGGTTGTAAATCTTGTGTAAGTGATTGTCTCAGGCTCTTTTCTGATATACACAGAACAGCACAAGGTAGATAGTAAAAGATACTCTGAGAGCATCGGAGGTTGTAGAAAAGCATGAAACGCTAACCACACGATCAGCTGCTTTGTAACGCAAAGCATGGAGGTGAACAGAAGAACTCCGCTGCTGCTCAGGAAGGTGAAATTTCTACCTCTCCTGTCACTCTAGGAAGCCTCTACCCTATGCTATGGTGACATAGCAGTGCCTCAGCAAATGGCTGTCGCGTAGATGTCTGAAGTGGCAGTCATGCTTGCACGTGCTATCTGAATTTCTGGGATTCAGTGCAGCAAAAGGCCACGAATGTACGGCAGGAACAGCACTTGTATGGAGCTCACGAGGTGCTGCTCTAGTTTCTTGCAGTTATGACCCTTCTGCAGTGGCTTCTACTTGCCATTAGGCGATGTGAAGACTGCCCCCGCTTTGAAATGGCCTGGGGCAAAGCATATCCCTTGAAACGTGCCTCAGTAACTAACGCGACCTCCGATTTATCTACCTGTTTTCATGATGAATATTTCCTACCCCCACTTCCTAGCATGCTCTCTGACTTGGCTCTTGCCTCTGACTATGAATTATCATTGTGCCAATAGGTTACATTCAGAAGATCAAATCTGGAGAGGAGGATTTCGAATCCCTTGCTTCCCAGTTTAGCGACTGCAGCTCGGCAAAAGCAGGAGGAGATCTGGGTGCTTTTGGGAGAGGTAGGTGACATGAATTCAATAATGAAATTACGCCGTTGACATTGAAATTCATCAGCAAGGGGTGGGGATAAATAACCCCGTCCCCTCACATGGATTGATGTGCGAAGAGAGTTTGCTGAATGTGAAGTGTGGCTTGCTGCTTAGATGCTAAACCAATTAGGAATACAGCTCCGATACGACTCTACAAGGGGAGCGCATTATGCAAACGCTCCTTATGAAATTGGCTTTTGCTTTGAGAGTTGTTTTGTTTTAGCCACACTGAAAGGGAACCCAGTTGCTTAGCATAATAAACCGTGAACAAGGAGGAAATGAATCAATGGAACTAATGACAAACCAGACAGATAATTAAGCACTAATCTCCAAGTGTATATGCATGGGAGGGAGTAATAGCAAATTGGGGAAATGGGTGCAATTTGCAGACAACCAAAAGTAATGCTGCTGCCGAGGGAATTCATTTCAGCAATGCTGATCCGTGTGGAGAGGGAGTGCGTACAAGATGCTGCTCTCATTTCACTCATTAACGGGATGTATTAGGACACTTGACATAAGAAAGGTCCTTGAGCACATAAGAGAGATGTCCCGTGTTGCATGTTGTAGCTGGAGTACACAGTACATTGGTGCTGGCAAACACAGCGTTTTCTGCCTTTGGCTTTAAAACGTGAACATACCCAAAGGAAAGAAGTCTAGTGAGAATTCCCTACAGCTGAAACAGTGAGGTGGGATCATGTGTTTCTGGTAAGATCATTTAGGGGGATGGCAGGATGAGACATGAGCATCGAGGCAAGTTCCTGAACATTTCCATTTTTTCTGTGCTGCAAACACACAAATATTGCAGCAGAAATCTCTGCTGATGTACCACGCTGCAAGGGTGTTCAGGACAGTCTGCATAGTTGTATTACAATCCGAGTATCTGCCCAGGAACAGTTACAACAGCCAGAACTGACCCATTGCCATAGACTTCAGCCACAAAAGCTGTCTTCGGGAGTGTAAATGTGGACTTACAATAACACATTGTTTAGGTTGCTTTTGTGTGTTACAGCTACCTACAGAGGTCATTTATATTGCAGTTAAACAAGCGATTCCTTCTTAATTAGTGCTCCTGTGGGTGCTCCATTTTAGGCATGCCTGTGCCCCCATGGCTTGGATCTAAGATTTTTGGTAACTGTGCCCATTATGTTGGTCCATGTGCTTGTGGCAGGGTCAATAGGCCCCTGTTCTGCCCACTGTCCTGCAGTTATGGGGCTGTGGTACAAATCTCACTTGCCTTTTCTCAGTGTTTGACCTTCTGGCCCCCTGCAAAACAAAGGGGTGTTGGGGCTGATGCCTCTGGCCAGTCAGGGCTGAACAAACAGTTCTCCTCAGCCACCTGCTGAAGTGTCTGGACACCTGGGGGGAAGGGAGCCTCCAAACACCCCCTCAGCCCCTCACCTCTCCCTGCACCCTTTAGCAGTGCTCCTCAGCCACCTGCTGAAGTGTCTGGACACCTGGGGGGAAGGGAGCCTCCAAACACCCCCTCAGCCCCTCACCTCTCCCTGCACCCTTTAGCAGTGCTCCTCAGCCACCTGCTGAAGTGTCTGGACACCTGGGGGGAAGGGAGCCTCCAAACACCCCCTCAGCCCCTCACCTCTCCCTGCACCCTTTAGCAGTGCTGACTCGATTGTCAGCTCCTCTGAGTCTCCTTATCAGTTGTTCTTTCCTCTCCCCCTCCCCTCCTCCACAGGGAAGGTTTTAAAGAGCTCCCCTGGCCCGTAATTGATTTACAGCAGCCCCTGATTAGCCAGGGCCTTGCTGTTTTTTTGTTTGGTGTGGTGGTGGTTTTTTAGAGCTGCTTCTCTCCCCTTCCATCCAGCCCTGTGTCAGTGCCCTAAACATCCTTGTACCAGTGCTGTATAGCAGGGTCGGCAACCTGTGCCTTCTGAGCCAAATATGGCTCCTACTCCCAATCTGATCCTGGACCGCTCCCCCTCCTGCCCAGATCCTGCACCCCTATCCCTGTCACTGGCAGCCCTGACTGAACCCCTCCTTTTTGGCCCTACCCCAGAGCCTGGGGGGGCCTCAAAATCCACTAACCCTGGAACCCCAGAAGAGTTAATCTGGCCTGAGGCCTTAAATCTGCCTTCCCTGCCCCTCTCCCACATGGGGCTAGAGCACCAGTGAGGTTTTTCAGTTGGGAGGCCACATCAGTGAGGGTTGGGTTTGGTTTTTTGCTTCTTTCTTGTGTGGTCCCCAACTGAGTTTTCTGTAGGTCATTGGCCCCTGTGACGGCGCGTTGGGGGTCCCCCTCTCCTGCACCCCCGAAATGGCACGAACAGACTCCACCAGCCAGTAGAATAGAGGTG